TTCCTCGTGAGATGCAAATCTCAGGGCAACATCCCGAAAGGCTTCTCCGTAAAGACTCCTTTCAATAATATATAAGGTCCAAAGATAGAGGTGAGCTCTTTCTAAGGGCCCCAACTGAGTATCTTTCTTCCTCCTCACCTGAGGATGGAAACAGATTCAGCTCTCGAAACGTCGTATTTTCTAGCCTCTAGACCACCGGACGGTGGGAAAAGTCCGAAAATTAAGTAATTCTGAGTGTTATATACTATCGTCAGAACTCTTTAAAATAAACCAATATATCTGTGTTGCTTGTTCTAATTATTATCATGATGGTGATAACTTATTGGAAAAGGAAGGGCAGTGGAAATGGTGTATATTCTTCGTCCGCCTCAAGTCTGAGATTTCAGGATCGAATTCAATTCGAGTTATAGCTATATACCCCCATCTCACTGAATCTTTCTTAGAAACTCTGTTACCGAACCACCGTATGTATGTCTCTGGCTTCCGTGTTTTGAACTTGTTGGGACGCCTGATATATGCGGCAACTTCTCCGTCATCCCTGTTAGGCGGATAGTCAAGGTGGTGTATTGGATATACACTGCTGTAGTAAGACCCATAATTAGGCCGCGCCATAACTCAAGCGGTTAGTCGCTAGCTTCCCACCGCGGCGGCCCGGGTTCGATCCCGGGTCTGTTCAAGCGGGAGTTGTGGTGAACATAGTGCCGCTGGGACGGGTTTTCTCTGAGTACTCCGGTTTCCCCTGCCAATCTTCATTCCACCAATTGCTCCACAATCACCCTCACCTTTCATCTGGGGCTTGTACAATAGGCCAGAAGTGTCCGCAGTACAAGGGACTTAGTCCCACCCTACTAGCAATAAAAAGAGACCCATAATTACGTATGCTGCCATTATATGGTGGCCTAGAGTTAAACTTAAAACAAGTCAGGCTGAACTAAGCAAATTGCAAAGGACGGCCTGCTTGAGAATTACGGGAGCAATGAGAACAGCTCCAACAGTTGCAATGGAAATCCTACTAGGACTCCCCCACTGCATCTGCAGATGGAAGTAGAGGCCAAGTTAGGAAGTTACAGATTACGTTGCAATGATGAATGGAGACCTAAATCTGAAGGTTTTGGACATGCATACATGATTCAGGACATGAAAAAGGAACCCATCATACAGATGGGATCTGATAAAATGATACCGAAACATGTCTAGCTAAACCCTTAGCGATCAGATTCCCGATAGAAGTGAATGGAAAGAGGGGTTTCAACCCGATAGAAACGTAATGTAACGTCATTATTCTTCTGGTCCCTGTTTTCATCTCCTACCATAAATATTTAGGCAATTCCATCCATACTGCATCGGTTAATAAGAAACTTTTCAGACGAATACAGAGTGTTATGTACTTACCGCTGGAAGCGGACAAATCTCTACGCGATGCTGTTCTACTTTTCGCGAAGATTAACTGAAATATAAGTTACAGTGCCAGATGACGCATATGGTGCTTGCATATTCCGTCGTACTGAAGGCCAACGTGGAAGCGTCTGTATGCGTAACTTGACACCTCGGTGTCGATATGACGTCACTGGAATTCGATAAGTTCTTCATATACGAAATGAAGGCGACAGTCAACAAACAAAGGATAAAATCTTACAGGTTCAACGTGTTTTTTTAGGAACAAACCGCTTCTGATAGGGCAGTGAAGAACAGAACATCGAGGCTAAAGTGTTTTCGCTGAAACTATGAAAGAAGTACGCATGTCTTGAACTCTTTCCCCATTTAATACAAGCTTATCTCGCTTTATTGCGTTTCGCAGATATTGCATTTTTTTTTTTTTTTTACAAATTGAAGGTTTATACCAACCCTGCGTCGAATAAGTCTATCGGCGCCATTTTTCGAACAGCATGTGTTTTCATCGTGTCTCTGTACCACATTTTTATAATGCTCGCATTTAATTATCTATACATATATGTTACGGTGATCTGTGATCAGTGATATTACTGTTGTAGTTGTTTAGGGGCGCCACGAATCGCGCCCGTATAAGACGGCGAACTCAACCGATAGAAGTTTTGTGTGTCCTGAAATGAATGGTCAATCGACCCAGAAACTTCATTTGTTGTTTCATTTTAAGAAACTGCCACAGCCACCCCAACCTGCAATAACCTCCACCCTGATCAGTCAGCAGCCATCAGTATCGATGGATGATCCTCCTTCAGCAAGAATTATTACTACTCGTTGAAAGTTCAGATGATAGTTATCATTTTTAGCAATAAAATATTTCTTAATTAAGGTATTTACATTGTTTTTAAACATAACGCTATTTCACAATTAATAGGCTACAGTATAGTGTAAACATAAATTTTATGTGCAGTGGGAAACCAAAAAAAATCATGTGACTCTCTTTATTGCGGTGATCAAAAACCGAGCCTGCAATATCTCAGAGTTATGCCTGTACCAACGTCGCTTTGAAGTAATGAGCTCTGTTTTCGAAAATAAGATTGAAAACTTATGTAAGATGACACAATTTTACAACCAGTGCGAAGGAAGTGGTACTGTCGGTGTTGAGATTGTTTGGATAATTTTGGGTCTGATTACTGTAGGCCGTTTACAGTTGTGTTAAATGGTGGTGAGCAATCGATTTTAGACTCGTTAATGTATAAAATCACTTTGACAACCAGTATGTAAAATAGGTGACTGAGTGACCAAAAATATGTTTGATTTCTTAATCACTCAGTAATTTTTGTCTATACCCAACTTAAACTACTCAAGTGGATAGCATCTACTGTCACTTTCAGATTTTTATGTTGTCAAATTTATTGAAATATAGAAAGGCTCTACTGTTAGAAGCCGTTACTCTGTGTGTGTGTGTGTGTGTGTGTGTAGGGGTGGGCCATAAAATCCCTCCCTCGCACTGCGACCTTCAATGATCTGTTGTGCTTTCCCTTTGGATTAATCCTTTATTAATCCTACACTTCCAATGAAATGTAGGACTTTATTTATGGGGGCGTCATAAAAGTCACTTAGCTCCATTAAGAAGTGACCCAGGTGACGAAATATTAAGTAAGCTATGGCCTCAAAATCACATAGGATATTTAGAAGCCGTTACTATGGAACGACTAGTGAAGACAAAGCAGAATGAAAGGACCTAGCGTGTGCTGTAGTGATTTGTAAAATGTGGAGCTCAGCTATGGCGCTATACTTAATTGTAGTCACAAGCCGTGTGTTAAACTGGTCACTATAACCAATCCGAACCCATTCTATAGTCACTCATACACATGACAGTACATACACAAGAATGAGGCTTCTTATACTGTCGTTATGTCGCAGGTATTATTGTTAGCGGATAAGATTTGAGGTTTTCACGGCGGTAACTACCTAGCTCGACGGAAGAAATTTCATGGTTAGCTAAGTGATCATTACCAACTATAGTTAATAAATTTAATTTCAATAGAATTAAGAAATTAATTGTATTTTTACTGAAATGTAATAATTTACATTTCAAGCTCTACTCTTCCTTGATTGTGACTGTACCTAGAAGTAAAAACTGAATATAAAGTTATTAGAGGAACTAATATGTAATTAGTTTTAGCATATAATTTGTTTTGTGGGTTGAAATTTCTGTCATTAAGCATGAATAAGGACTTTATCTATTAAAATGGGACACCACAAGGACAAATGGATCGCCACTAATGCACTCGTGCAAGACAGCAGACTTCTAGAACAGGGCCAAGACACTTGTGGGAAATTAAGGTTATTCTGTGGATTATAAAATTTGTTTCCGCTTTGTGTTCTACGCAGCAATTGACAGCTGAATACTGACCACATCCTCATATCATATTTCTTCAAGCTCCATTTTTGTGTATATCTTCTAAATTTGTCTCTAACCTTTAGATATTTCGACTAAAATCGTACATGTAATCGCATGCTACATGCCTACTCGTATTATACTCCTTGATTAGATCACCCTAATAGTGTTCTTTGAAGGGCATTTTGAAGGTGTGCAGTTCTCTCCATCAACAGTAGTAAGAATGATAAGCAACAGCTCGAGGACCAATTATAAAATAAGTACGAACAAAAAGAAAATAAAAAATTGTTCGCACAAACAAAAGATAAAAAAGATAGTTTTATCATGTATACAATAATAACAATTCCATTAGTGCAATCACAACAACCACTATGCGGTGATATAAAATGCTGTCTCGAATCCTGGTACCGCGACAAGTAATTAATGAGTTCTGGATTACATGAATCGATTTATTGGATATTCACCAGTTGGAACTAGAATTAGTTGTAACACAATCTTGCTGTAACTATAACACTTCGTAATTACGAACAATGATAACACTCTAAAGGTTATTATAACTACGCCACATAAAATAAAAACTTCACTTCTGACTTCTTCTGATTTGTGTCTGTCTTCTGTCATCTGTTGTATTCTGTCTCTGTGGGTCAGTTCTCTCCCTGATGTAGGTTCTGGTCGAACCGTATGGAGATCACCTCCTTCATCAGTAGAGTTACCGCGTTCTAGTTCTCTCCCTGAGGTAGGTTCTGGTCGAACGGTATGGAGATCACCTCCTTCAGCAGTAGAGTTACCGTGTTCTAGTTCTCTCCCTGAGGTAGGTTCTGGTCGAACCGTATGGAGATCACCTCCTTCAACAGTAGAGTTACTGCGTTCTTCGCTGTTATTGTGCTTTGGAGGTTCGCTGCCGTGTGACCGGAAACGTTTCTGTATTCGTTGCCTATTAATCGATATGACCCTGTATGCAATGCATTGCTTCTTCAGTGGTTTTTTTTTTTTGCTGTGGAAACGTGTTCCAACAATTCTCTGTCCAGCAGCGGCGCCTTCCGTGTTGCAACGGGAACGTGCTCAGCGAAGGCCCGCCCAGCAGATGGGCAGATTTTAGCTTTCAGGCGTCATATCACAATATATATACAGTTCTCTTGATTATAATTAATATTTTAATAAATGAAAAATTGTAATTACAAAATACCCTTAAGAAAACCCGTCTTGGTTTCAGATGAGTCATCGACCCTACATAAAACGTTAGCAGCTGAAGCGCATCAAGTGGAAGATCAATATTTACCCAAACAGCAGTTATTGAACGCAGAAACTTCTTTTATATAGCGAGCGAGATCTCGAAGACAAAGTTATAAGAGGGAAGAACAGAACTTAGAACCAAGGTCATCTTCAGTAAGGTAAAGGTAAAGTTGTCCCTATGCTTAACTAATTAAGTACTACATCATGAAGGCAGGGGCACGCGGTAGCTTAGTTGATTGAGGCACTATGATACAAGCGGAACGGTCGCGGGATCGAATCCAATAAGGTGGATTTTTTCAATGTACCTAATCTTTCCAGCCACACTATGTCCCTAGGGTAGACTCAGCCTCTAACAGAAATGAGTACCAGGAATCTTCTGGGGGTAAAGGGCGGCCGGCGCGTAAAGCTAACATGCTCACCGCCATCTGTGAGCCTGAACTTCTCACAACTCCATGGGCCTCCACGGCCTGTTAGAGGGAAGCCTTTACTTTTTTATTATGAAGGCGTGTGGGGGCCTGGGTGTATAGATCCACATTTTATTGATCCTGACACTATTTGGAGGTGAGTGGTCAGCTTCACGCCTCGTCCGCTTTACACCCGGGAAAGAGCCCCCGGAACTCATTGGATAGGAGGTTGGGTGGGCCCCAGAGCCGGTCTGGATGACATGGAGGAGAGAAAATTCTTGACCCTACAAGGACTCGGTTGTCCCGCCCCTAGCCACTCACTATACCGACTATGCTATCCCGGTTCGTCAACTTGAGTAAGACATTAATTATATCCAAGAATATGTTTTCGGGAGATACCGATTGCCGTAAAATGTTGCGTTTAGGACATTTACATAGTTTTGCAGTCACGGAATCACGGCTTCTTTTAATGTGAAATCTTACTCGTTATACCACCTGCTCGTAAGTTAAATAAAGGCCGCGCCATAGCTCAAGCGGTTAGTCGCTGGCTTCCCACTGTGGCGGCCCGGGTTCGATCCCGGATCTGGTCAAGTGGGATTTGTGGTGGACAAAGTGGCGCTGGGGCGGGTTTTCTCCGAGAAGTTCGGTTTCCCATGCTAATCTTCATTTCACCAAATTCTGCGTCATCATAATCACCCGGGGCCGGCTACAATAGGCCAATCAGTGGCCGCCGTTCCGAGTGGACCCAGTTAAACTCCACCCCACACTAAGCGAATTTAAAGAAGAAAGGTAAATAAATGAAATATATTGCTAATATACTAATGTTCTTTTTCTGCGTTACTTCTTCTAGGAAGATAAAAATCAGTCTCTGACATTAACGGAGGAAATAGACTGAAGGTGTTTGAGAACAGGGTGCTAGGAGAATATTTGAACCGAGGAGAGAAGATGTGACAAGAGTTTGGACAAAACTACATAATGAGGAGCTTCGTAACTTATACTCTTCTTGAAGTATAATTAGAACGATCAAGTCAAGGAGGATAAGATGGGCAAGGCATGTAGCAGGAATAAGGGAGAAGAGGAATGCATTTAGGATATTGGTGTGAAAACCAGAAGGAGACCACTGGGAAGACCAAGGTGTGGGTGAGTGGACAGTAATAAAATGGATCTTAGTGAGATAGAGTGGGATTGTATGGATTGGATTGATCTGGCTCAGGATATGACAATTGGAGGGCTCTTGTGAACACGGTTATGAACCTTCGGTTTCCGTAAAATGCTGGAAAGTCCTTCAGAAGCTGCACAATTGGCGGCTTCTCAAGAAGGGCTGAGCTCCATAAGTGAGATATTGCTCATGTGCTAATGTACTTTTTCTCCATTACTGCTTCTTGGAAGATGAAATGCACAGACGTGAGCACGGACTGCATCGTGTTGATGGGATGTTTCTGTGATATGCTCAGTACTCAGGAAAAGTACCCTGCAATGTAAACAGGTGTGAGAAAACGTACAGATAATTATATTTATTTTTCGCATTTCGTTTGAATTTCGTATATCTTATAATTGCAGTTTGCAGTTGCTCTTATTGATCTGCAGGTGGCCATACTAGACATACAACTACGAAATCTTGTTCAATATAATGTGCTTCACATCTGTGTGTGTGTATATGGGTGTATGCATACATAGAGAACTATGTATCGTGAGTGGGATTTTATTTGTTGTGTACATATGCGCTAAATCTATTTTTGAAGCTACTTTTTTTTTTAAGTTGACCAATGATTTCTACAAATTCAACAGTGGGGCAACATCTCAATACGAATGTGTATTTTTAATTGTGAAGAAGCCTCAAAGGGCTGCAGGTTCTCTTATGAAGGAAATCCATACGCTATTGTCCCAGTCATCATTCATCACTCACACATGTAGCTCAGTTTTTCCTGAGAAGCCGTTAATTGTGCAGCCACTCAAGAACTTCCCAGCATTTTATGAAATCCGAAGGTTCATTGTCGTGTTCACAAGAGCCCTCCATTGGTCCCTATCCTGAGCCAGATAAATCCAATTAATACCATCCTATTCTATCTCTCTAAGATCCATTTTAATATTGTCCACACTCCTGCGTCTTGTTTTTCCTAGTGGTCTCGTTCATTCTGGCTTTCCCACCAGTATCCTCTATGAATTCCTCTTTTCTTCATTAGTGCTACATGCCCTGTCTATCTCATTCTCCTTGACGTGATCATTCTAATTATACTTGGACAAGAGTATAAGTTATAAACTTCCTCATTATGCAGTTTTGTTCAACCTCCCGTCACTTCATCTCTCTTTGGTCCAAATATTCTCCTTAAAACCCTGTTCTCAAAGACCCTCAGTCTATATTCCTCTCTTAATGTGAGAGACCAAATTTCACACTCATACAGAACCACAGGCAAAATTATAGTTTTGTATATTCTAATTTTTATGTTTTTAGACAGCAGATGAAAAGAAATAGTTCTGGACTGAATTGTAGCAAGCATTAAACGAAATGAACCTCCTCTTAATTTCCGCCTGAATCAAATTTTGATCTGTTACTGTCACTGCCACCGTGCCACATTTTCAGAACAAAGGTTAGCTATCTATATGTCAGGATTTTGTTCTGAATTCTGCTGACGAGACAGCAATATACACTTAGTTTTATCTTTGTTTACTTTTAGATCAACCTGTTACTAGCGTCAATTAAAGTTTTTCTTTATAGTATCTACATTATCACCCAGTAGAATGTATTCATGAGCATATACCAACAGCTGATGTGTGCCATTTAATTTCAGTCCCACGTGGTTCTCCTGGACCTTCCTAATTGCATTTTCTAAAGCAAAGTTTAAAAGCAGTGGCGATAAAGCATCTCCTTGTTTTAGACCGTTTTGGATAGGGAAATTATCAGACAAATGTTTACCTATATGAGCTTTACTATACATTTCGTTTAAATACATTTTAACCAGCCTAACTATTTTCATGGGTACCCCGAAGTCTATGAGAATATTGTGCAATACTTCCCTCATAACTGAATCGTAGGCTTTCTTGAAGTCTACATATTGCTGATGTACTGTCTCATTGTATTCTAATTTTTTCTCCAGTATCTTTAAACATAACAGGGCAGGAAAAAGTAATGGGAAAGAAAGGGGAAAATTCTCTAACGATAATTTAAGGTAAATTTCATTAACTTTCCTTGAGATATTAAGAGAAACGATGAAAGGAATTTGGGCGATTGAAGCCGAGCGAAATTCTCATGAGGTGCTGAATAAATATCCCTGCTTATAGCAGATACTCTGACGCAAAGTATAAAAGAGAACGTCAAACTCATGATTAAGCTATAAGTCCTCGAATTACGAGCCTGTTTGGCCTTCATATTGAGATGAAGAATGATAGCAGATGTAAGACGTCATTGATTTCTTTTTTCAAGTAAGCATATTGCTGGCCTTCGTACTTTCCAGAATCTCCTACTTGGCAATTCCAATTATATCCTACTGAACAGCTGAATCGGTTCTATTTCGAAGTATTTCAGATGTCGCACTTGAGTGATGGGTAAAACGTCAAACAAGGCTATTGCTGAATTCTTGGGAGAAATAAGATAAACAATATTGTGTACTCTATTATTTATTGTTTACATATTCATGTATATTTTTTGTCTCGTGTCCCTTATACAGATTGAATTAATATTTTTACGACGAACACTATATAAATAAACTGACTTATAACAAAGTACAAGTACGAAGAAGTAATTATGTAGAATTGAGTAACAGTTGTAATAATATAGATACAAAGACATTACAGTAATACATAATGTCATTCAGTATACTTACTTAATCCGTTCCTCTCGTACCTTACAGTATCGAGGTTGATTTTTTTCATTTTGATCATTTTTACAGATGGTAGGACTCCCTGGACGAGTGATCAGCTCGTCGCAAGGCTCTACCTAAACATAGAACAACACAAACACAGAATAAACACATACACGTACCAAACATCTATGCCTTTGTGGGATTCGAACCCACGATCCCGATTTCTAAGCGAACGAAGACAGAACATGCCTTAGACCGCTCGGCTAACATGACTGGCGTATTCATTATCACAGGAGTGAAATTTTCATAAGAACATCGGGAAGAAATGGTGCCCAGGAATCGTTATCACATTCAAAATACATTGAAAACAAACAAAACTTACCCACAGAATTTATAGACTTATTGGCTATATCTGGATTTATTTTATTAGCTGAGATATCAGGCAGGTAACATCGCATGAAATATGTAGACCTATGACATATCAATAAATTTACTATCAAAAATTGGTTTGTGGTTCTCATTTTTTTGTACGTGAGTTAATGGCACTACTATTCTTAGCTATTATAGTTTATGGTGTCGATTTTGATATTAGTGGTGAGAAGAAAGAAGGAGTCATTGCTTATTTGATGGATTTCCCTAAGTTTTCCTGGGGAGACTGAGGAAAACCATAATAATCTAAATGAAGATATACTGTTGCCAAGCTGAAATCCTGATCGGATATCTTCCAGTAATTATGAGTCCACAACAACAAAAAATAATAACAAATTTAATGCTGGCCCTACTCAGTACATAAAACGAATTTATAGTCGAAAGTTACTTTGTGATTACTCAATAATTTTATATGTAAGATAATCTAACAGGTTTGTTAGCATATCTATAAAGGGCGAATCTGGCATGCAAATGCTTTTGAAGTCGAAAACCAGAGTGTTTTGGGAAAACATCTGTTCTGAAGCAGTGAGC